GCTTCAGATGATTGCCAGCAATCCTGGGAGGTCCTTGGTTAGTAGACGCCACCCCAGTCACATGGCTGCCTTCTCCATCTGTGTCTTCATATCATCTCCCCTCTGTGTATGTCTGTGTCTACGTCCAAATCTCCTCTCATATACTATCAGTCATACTGGGTCAGGGCCCATCCTCATGACCTCATTTTAACTTAGCACTTATATTTCAAAATAAGGTCATTTTGGGTTACTTCAACATATCTTTTGGGGGCACATAATTCAACCCACAACTGAGATCATTTCAGTGAGAGATTCAGAATCTTGGCTTTCTGCCTAATCTACGTAGTCTCAAATTTTGTGAGAAATTTCCCAATTGTTTAAGTTAGTTGGAGTCAAGATTTCTGCTACTTTCTGCCAAAGTACTCTGACAGATTTATGCAAAGATTTCAGGTGGGATAAGGGTTAGGGTGATGGAGGGTAAAGTGGTTCCTTGAGGAGCAGGCAGCAGTGGAAGAAAGAATCTGGGATGCTGACCTTGATACAGTGTGGAAGGATCAGAGAAATTTGCTTTGGTCTAGCCTTGAAAGCCTGTTCACTAGCAAGTGTTGTGCTAAGCACGAGGGCATTTGCTGAGCAAGACAGATGCCCTCTCTGCCTCTGAAAGATGTGGTAGGGGAAATCCTGAAATATGAGCCCAGAGAGGTAATTAGGGATAGAGAAAGAGAAAGATATGGAAAACCATATTAAAATGTTTGTTATCTTGAGGGAAAGGAGGACCTTGAAACGTTTTAAACAGGAGGGTGCCATGAGACAGTTTAATTTTTGCTGTAAATGGAGAATGACTGATGGGCGGCTGAGGCAGGGAGACCCATTAGGGGACTGGTGGAATGATGCAAGTGAAGGGTCCCTTAGGATCTCTTCACCTTCAAGGATTTTAGGGAGTAGCTGGGGACTTTCAGGGTGGCTGGAGCTCTGCCAGAGGGTCAGTCAGCAGGTGGGCACTTAGTGTGCCCACGTTGCTGTTTCCTCTGCCCTCAAGCTTCTCTTCTTGAAAAGTGGGTGGGGACATCACCTCTACGTGTCCACGTCAGGTCCTCTTGGAGGGTTTCACGGGGGGATGTTGCTGGGCCCGAGATGTAATCAAGTCCAGTTAAAAAGTGGTTTCTTATCTAGTCCTATTTCTCCAGGGAGCACATGCCCCCTGGGTGGCCGGGTCAGGATCTGGTTCAGGAAAGAGCCAAAGGAAAGTCATTCCCTGGGCACAAAGACTGAGCTGCTTTGCCAAGCCGGGCTGGACCTGTCCCCACCGGACTCTTCGGGGCGGGCGTTCTCCCGGCACCTCTCAAGTGTGCACGCAGTTGACTCTCCCGTACCCCACAGCTCGAAGTAGGTGTAAGAAAGATCACATGATGAACTCCAAAGTAAAACGGAAGCTTGAAGAACCAGCACTTATTTCCATCACCTTTACTTGAGTCTGGGCCATCTTGGAGGCCGGCTCCCAACAACGACGTGCTGCGCGCTCTGGCTAACACCGTAACTAACCAACCCGCCTCGGTACCCAACCACTGGATGACGAAGGAGAGGTCCTGTAAGAAGAGAAGGGGTAAGACCCATAGATGAGTGTCCTACAGAAATCTAACAATGACAGTCCTGTGTTTCTGACCATCTCTTCTGATGATTTCCTATCAGCTAAGTAGCGCCAACGGTTGGAGCTTTATGTGACTGGGAATGATAATGACTACTTTTTGTAGCCGCGATGTTTTTTAACATTTCTTGCAAAATCTGATTATTTTTTAGGGATTTGACTCGTAATTATGTTCATGTGCAAGGAAAAATCTACTCCTAGTCATTTCACACATTTAGGCTGTCAACCCTGTCAGCCGCAGAATCACTGATTAGGGGGCCCCGTAGTTGCTGGGCTGCTTTCATTAAGATGGTCAAAGTAATCAGGCAGAAAGACACAATTGAGTAATTGGAGACCCGAAAATGTAATGCTCCTTGATTACTATTATGGCTGGAAAATGGAGCAAATCCCAAGGGGCTACCTGAGATGGCTCTGAAGCAGCCTGGTCTTTCATACAGAATCTGAAATACTGGCCTCAAATATATTATATAGGATATAAGATTTTCTTAACAATGTATTATTATTTATTTATTTATTTGACAGAAAGAGACACAGCGAGAGAGGGAACACTAGCAGGGGGAGTGGGAGAGGGAGAAGCAGACTCCCACTGAGCAGGGAGCCCGATGTGGGGCTCAATCCAGGACCCTGAGATCGTGACCTGAGCAGAAGGCAGGTGCGTAATGACTGAGCCGCCCAGGCGCTCCTAGAATATAATATTTGAAAAACGCTAAGTCCAGAGTGGGGTTGTTTTTGTATATGATTCAATTTGCACAATGGTATGGGCAAAATACTATTTTTACCTGGAGTTTAGATGTGAAAAAAATAAAAGCTCCAAGAATAATTTGGCCAGTGTCAAACAGCTGAAAAGTGCTGGAGGAGTGACAAGAAATCAGATCTCTAAGACAAGAAGTACACACTATCTGCAATGCCTTCCTACACATGCCACAGCCCCGATTCACAGCTTCACTATTTGAAAATTCTTGAAAATACCTAAAATATTTCTTTCTCTTTCTTTGGGGAGCTCATTTAGTAGCAGAAATCCAATCTGACCCAAGACTTATTTATTGTCCTTATTTCTCTTTCTTTGTCCAAAGGTGGATGTTTTGCTAAAGAAGCATTAGTGTGTTGATGACAGGGTGCTGACTTAAACAATTCTGATCAATAAGGGGGTGATACCACCCTTATAGTAGTTGGAATATTATGAACTCCAAAACCATCTGGCTCAAAGAGCTTTGGGGGAAGAGATATAAAATCAGTAACGTGAGATTAGCGGAGATGGTAAAAGATGAAGACTTGAAATTAAGACAAGACTGTGTACGTAAAGAAGAGAACCGAGGGTGGTTTTCTTTTTAGGATCCCCTGTTTCATAGACTAATGGCTGACCCTTAGTGGGCCTTCAAAACTGTGTGTTGAATTAACCTGGTCTCAGAGATGGACTGTGATAACGACAGTCTCAGTGTTTTTCTGAAAGTGGCATTCTGCAATTTTCATTTCCTCCATAAGGGGGCAGACTAAGAGGAGGTGGGCTTAGTGACATCACTGTCATCTCTGCCTGCATCACACCCCACCCCCTCCCCCGCACCCTCATCCCAGCAGGAGCAGGTGAACTTCTTGCTGAAGAATCTGGCTCCAGGCCAACTGCAACCCCTGTGGCCTGACCACAGGCACTGGGAAGGTGTGCCTGGCGGGCTCATGAGGGAGGCCTCCGGAAGGAGTTGGAGGTAAAAACTTGGTAGCCCTCCATTCCAGGCCGCCATGCTTTTATGCACGGCCATATTCCTAGCCCACGTGCTTCTAGTCCGAGGGTGCATCATCCAGGGGCCTCAACTGAGGCATCTTTCTCTATCCCTCCTGCCACATCTGTACTTTCCCACCTGACAGCTACCCTGTGCTGTTCAGTGCTGTTCAGTGAATGCTGGGAGCCAGTGCTTATTTTGGCCTGTTATTTGCACTGTGGCAGTAAGTGAACAAAGACTCACTGTGACTTTAGGTTTCGCTCGCTGTCCTATATCACCACCCAGACACAGGACAAGTCAACACCTATCTAAGACCAGTCTTTGTGACAGTGCTCTGGACTCTTGCTTCTGGAAACTTGCCACTGTCCTCTGTGGCTCACATGTCTTCAACCTCGCCCTCTACTGGCTCTCTCAACAGCATTTAAACACAATCACACTTTCATCCAACTTAAAATTTCCTTGGTCTTATGTCCTTCTCTCACATTGACCTTTCCCTCTCCTCTAAATTCTGGAACAAGAATGGCTCACCTCAGACCTTTTGCATATGCTGTCCCCAACCTGGGACACTGTGTTGTTCCTCCACTTGGCTACCTACAACTGTTCTTTAGTAACTGCCTCCTTCAAGAAACCTTCTTGGATTTTTCCAGTCCTGGTTACAGCCCTTACCTCTGGGTTCCCAGAACACCTGAGCTTGCTTTTATCATGCTTCATGTTTACTAACAGGGCACCCCTTCAACTGAGAATTTCTTGAAGATAAGGGATATAGTTGTGTTTCTGTCCGAAGATCACCAAAATTGCCTGGTTGTTTAGACGTACTCAACAAATGCTTGGTGATATATAACAAATTTAGCACAAGATTAAACAAACAAACACCCAGGCTTTATTATTCTACCAGTTTGAGTATAGACACCTTTATCCTCAAAGATTATTGAAAAAAAAATGCATTACATCCTGCTGTAACCCCAAGATCATCCTTCCCATATAATAGGCTTTACTAGTTCAGCTTATGATGAAAAAATATATATATTTTGTCTTGGTAGTTATATTATTTTCATGTTTCTAAATCCACATGGAGTTAAATTTCAGAATCCTTGATTAGAGCTATATTTTCTATGAGTTCTGTTTATGAATTGATTGATTTTTAACTTCCTTCTTAGCCTAAGTGAATTCTAATGATAATGCAGCAGCGTGAACTAGACAATCTTCTACAGACATTTGAAATCTGAAGAGTTTATGAATTTTATTACATTGAAAATCAAAACCCCCTTCTAGATTACACTTGTCATAAAAATATATGAATTATAAAACAGATTTTAAAATGGTAACTCTCAAGACACAAAAAACTATTTAAAAATTCTGTTCTATTTTCATCTATAGGTGCTAAGAACCCTAGTTTTCATCTTGACTAGTTTCAGCATCTCATTCTATCAGACTATTTTCAGAATTTAAAGAACTGATGTATAACTTGACAATGCTGAAAGGTGCTCAGACGCCTGCATCCTGCAGAAGAGACCATTTTAAATATCTAAACTAAATTATTCCAAGTTATCAAAACTAGGACTGTGTTTCTGAACCACTCTTAAAGGGAAATTATTTTGATGTTAACCATTATTGTAAAAACAGGAAGGAGGAATTAAATTGGCTGCATTTTTCATTCTTACCCTCGGAAACGTTGTAAACCTGTCCAGTTCTTCAACAAAGCAGAACATCTGCAGACTAATTGCTGACATTACGATCAGGAGGCTGGCAGTAAATACAACCAAACTCCCCAGCTTTTTTCCAGGACCGAATATCTTATACACAAAGTCTTCCAGTGCTGGAGAAATCTTAATAAGTCGAACTACCCGAAGAACCTGTTGTGTGAGAGAAAAACATACGTACTTGATTATTTTTTTACACTGAATCTTAAATAAGTTCACACCAAAATCTCATTTTTCACAGGACTTCGTAAAAATCATACTTTTCCATTTGAGCAGCTACAGACAAAAAACAACAATACCATAACTAAGATCTCAGTTGAGCTCTTAGAGCCTTAGAGCCAGAACTCGACAGATCCCAAATGAATGTAGGAAAACTGAGGCTTTTTGACATGCAATGGGAGAATTCAAAGTGCTATTAACTAATTCACGTTGTTGAAATTAAAGTGACTTTTTTCCCTAATGTTCAAATGTAGAAGAAAATGTTTAGCTCAATATTAGCTATATTGTCACATAGAATAAAGCTTCCTATGTATTACCATATGTAAGACATTTTTTAAAAAGTCTATTAACAAGGAGTCTTTACTTATGCCTGAGACTGATACCCTAATATCCATCCTATCCTTCCTTTAAATAACAGAACTTTCGGCATTTTAACCTAGCAAGTGGCTGGCCGGGACTTTAGACCACATTTTCCAACCCCACTTGTGAGCTGTGGCCAGGGGACTGGGTTCATATTGACGGAATATGAAAGGAAGTAATATTTGCAACTTTTGGCCCATTGAAGTAAATTGGCTTGCCTTGGTTACTCTTTATGCCTTCCTCAGCAGGGAAATAGAAACAAATGGAGTAGTCCATTTGGACCTGAAATAGAAGGCTTGTATGGAGACTGACAGATTCAATCCACCTCAACAGCTGGATTCCTGCATGACCAGGTGGAGCAGAGCCACTGACTTTCCCTGGACACCACCAGCTACTGGAGAGAAACAAACTTCTGTCTTATGTAAGACTTGTATTTTTGATCTTTGTTATATTTGCTTAGCTTGTCATCTAAACACACATATGCATGCTCAGGTGTTTTGTAAGTATATAAATGTAACCCCCTCATAGCTGCTTATTAATTAATTAGTTTGCTCACTCACTTTAACAAATATTGACTATTATGTGCCAGACATTGTGTCAGACAAATAAGGTACAATGTCTATAATTGCAAAGACAGTATAATACAAAGGCATAGCTTAATTTTTTTTTTTAGTTTTGTTTTTACAAAGCACAGCTCTTAAGGGCATATTTATAAGATTAAAAGTATAAATTAGTGTATAATCCAAAATTGAAGTGTAAAGCATGGAAAAACAGAATTTTTTCTTTAAGTCTAAGATGTCAACATAATTTTAATGTGCCTCTGAGAAGAAAAAGTGCTTTAATTAAACTGTGGCATACCACTGATTATAAGGCAAATCAAAGGCTTAGAGATAGGAAACAGGAAAAGGAAAACTGCGATCTGGGCATAGATAAAATATGGTCAGTACAAACAAAATAACATAAGGTTGTCTAAGACGGTTTAGTAAGAGCTGTAGGTGCCTGTGAAGTCTTCTTAGGAGAAGAAAAATGAATAGTCTATTTTCAATATAGTAAAGAACAGGAAGTACTTTAGACCTAGATTTTAATTTTTACACATATATGTGTTTGTAATCTTCCAACATTCCTATCTTCCTACAGTTTCTGATTTTCCTCTGTCAAATTATTCCTGCTCCACTCTTGGTCCATGAGGTCCAGAAGGGACTCCAAGATGCCCACAATCTGGGCCTGAAGGGAATATTTACAACAACCTGAGTCATCCTTGGAACTTTTGTTGGACCTGTAAGACATGGCATTTTTTATCCCCAATTGGCATTACTGTGGGCACCACGGAAGCCTTGAGCTTTGGGGAGCTGTCTTTGACACTATATGGGGAAAGCCTGCTTAATAATACTGACATAGAAGAAAGGTGAGTAAATACACAGAGTCCCTATGATACCATTTTAGCCTCTGCACAATGCTGTACCTGAAGCCACATTACTCCTCTAGGACTTGGATTAACAGGAAATATTGATGATGAATTTTATCATTCTTATTGTCTACAGAATACAAATGTAGCCACGTGGATAGGAAACTAAAGGACAAACATTTAAAGAAGTTGAAAAATGTATATTTCCTTGTTAATTTTAATTCCTTCACACAATACTGAAAAAACAGAAAATTTCTGTGAAAAATCATATTGTTCCAAGTAAGCATTGTGCTATATACATGGTTAAGCTACCAGTCTTCCTGTTAGAATTTACCTATGTTTCCAAATCAGAACATATGATACTCAGGCCATCTTTCCAAATAACAAGTGAATAGCTTTATCATAAGTGCTATTAAAATATTAACATTCACATAATATCCAGAATAATAATATGGAAAGATTTTACATTCTTACAGATTTGTTATTCTCAGACATAAATGATTCAGTATCTAATTGTTAACAGCTGAGTCCAGGCAAGTTTACAGGAACAATTTAACTGGCTTTATAGCTCAGCTTTTAATACGGCTTGTATTAAAATCATATTTAAAAGATTGTCAAAGTAATTTTGAGTCCTATCCCAAATCCTAATAAAACAGCCTCTGCACATCTGTGCAACTTTGATAAATTAATATTTCATTAGCTGGAAGCAGAACTTAACACGACTCCTACATGGCAGATTTGATCAGCAGTTTCAAAGGTGTAAGCCGCATCCCTGGAAAGGCAAAATCCTTATCAATGACTCTAGTTATGCCTTTTCATTTATTTGGGGATAAATGTGCTTTTCACTGTGTTTATCCAATAAAGCCTTTAGATTTTGCATTCCTACTGATATGGAATAAAGTGAGCCATACTCTGAAAGACAAGCACCATAGAACATTTTGTGGTTACTTCCAAAGCCCATTTTCCTGGTCATATTTCTAAGTCTGTATTTTTAAGATCTCTGTTAATTACAAGTGAGATACTTTAGAAATTGCATGGCTAGGAATTTAGACTATAAAATTAAACTTCTTAGCAATGAGTTTCTGCCACTTGCTAGTTATGTGGTCTTGGGCAAGTCTGGGATCTCAGTTTCGTGTATGCTCTCTGTCTCACAGGACAGTGGTGAGTAACAAACAGCACAAGGCACTCAGCACGGTGCCTGGCACATAGTAAATGCACAATAAATACTCACCAAGGTCATCAGGATTACCTGGGTATGTCAGAACCATAGCATTTTGTGAAACTATTTCTTCTTACTGGACAATAGCGTGCTATGCTCATTTCAGTCCAACCACACTGGCCTTTATGCTCTTCTTTAAACACATGTTTGATGAAAATCACTTAACCATTAACATAAATTAAATTATTTTAGATTATAATCCAGGATCAAAGACAACACTGAAGTTGCAAACTTCATTGACAGAATATTATTCAACTATGTCTCTATCTATATAAAATGATTAGAACCATGCATACTAATTTTAGATATTTTGTCGAAAATAGACAAGTAGGAAAAAACTAGAGATAATGAATTATGTCTCTAAGTAATCATAAATTCATGATAGTCATTACTATATGGTTAAATATGCATGTGACTTTCTAAGCTATTCCTCAAATGTTTACCATTTTAAAAGTTCCCATTTTTTCTCACAATTTCAAAATAAATATATTTGCATTAAAATTTTAATGTGTTTCTAACTTTTCACTAAAAAGTTATCTGTGAGAAACTAGAGGAATTTTAATGCCCCTAATGTGTATGTATCCTTGTTGAAATAGGGATCCGGAGGGAGAAAACTGTGAGAGACTCTTAATCTCACAAAACAAAGGGAGCGGAGCGTTACTAGGGGTGGGAGGGAGAGGGTGGTTGGGTTATGGACATTGGGGAAGGCATGTGCTATGGTGAGTGCTGTTAAGTGTATAAACCTGGTGATTCACAGACCTGTACCCCTAGGGCTAATAATACATTATATGTTAATAAAAAATAAAAATAAATAAAAAAATAGGTACCATATTTTTCTTAATTTGGCTGACTTAATAGGTTTATAAAAGATACCTTGTTGTTTTGATTATCAGGCATATTTCCTATAGTCATCTACACTAATTATCAAATGCAGGTACTAAATGCTCCTGTTGATTTTGTAAATCTAGACAGCATCACCCAAAAGCATATAATGGCATAATTGGGAAGTACATTTCATATTGAGGGCTTTAAAAGCGCATATATCTCTTGCCCTGGTCCCTTCACTTATGATAACCAAGCCTAAGGATATAACCCGACGAATGACAAGGGATTTATCTCCAAAGATGCTGATATACTGAAGGCTTGACCCACGATATCCTCTGTGATTTCAGTATGTTTGGCAGTGATTACTAGAGGCCCAGCTTTTCACCCATGTTTGTAGGATATTTGTTACCATTTTTGTGAATTACGTTTTCATGTCCTTTCCTGAGGTACCAGAAGTATAGAGAGTTTGTAATTTGGCAGCTGAAATTAAAATTTCTCTGAAAATAACAGCTTTGGAATTGCCAATAAATAAAATTAGTGACGTTGGAATGCACTTTTTTTCATCTAAGGAGAAAATTTCATCTAAAATATCTCCCTTTATTATTGTGCATTTTTAGAAGTTTGAAATACAATGATAATTTATGAATGCACTATTTTTGGTATTGAAGAGGTCACTGGGTTTACCTCAAGTTTGTGTTTATTATATAATAATTATATATAACCATTTAATACAATTCTATATAGTTGTTATAATGTGATTGGTATTTTCTCTGGAAAGAAAAAAATTCTACAGACAAGCAGAAATTCCTCATATTACCTGAAAGTATGTGAACTGAGAATGATAAAGATCTGGATATACATGGAGAGTAGTTCCAATTACGAGTAGTAGTTCAAATTTGTGGAGAGATGAGCTAATATATCCAGTAAATCCCAAACACCATATCTTCAGAAGTGCTTCTAAATCAAAAAGTACTGTAAAAGCCACCTGGAGGAACAAAGAGACAGTGAAATTGGAACCTAAAATTATAATTTATTTCAAAATATTTCATACATGTGCTAGTATTTGAATTTCAGCAGCTATTACATAAAATGAAAAGCCCACAAGGATCTAGAGTGACGTGTTAAAAAAAATGGTTTTGAAAAACACCAACAGACCGTAGCAGACCAAATACAACTTGAGCAATCCATGAAATGTGTTAACTTGTTAAATGTTTGTGTTATTTTTTTATTACCCACTATTTGATATTTATTTAAAAGCTATTTAATTAAATATTGTGTATGCAGAAAGGCTGCATTTTTCCATAACTTATATTTTCTAAAGATAGTTTCTATAATGCACATGGTATGTTGTAAAATGATTTACATATTACCAAGCATCCGTAATATATATATATTTATTTATATATTTATATTTATATTTATATTATAGATTTATATTTATTATATATATTATTATATTATATATTTATTAATATATATATAAAATATATTATATATTTATATTTATATTATATATATTTATTTATATATAAATATATATATGATTTATGTCTGCATTATTAAGAAAATTAATAATGAATATTAATATATTAATAAATGGGTACTACAACCTTTTAATATATCGCATTAATTCTATGAACTTGCTATTACAAGCATCAATGTTATAAAATACACTTATAAACACAGCATGTTATTTTTCCTTTACTTGTCCTATGGGTAAGAATACTAATTTTATAAAGAAGTTTGCAACTGGAATTAAAGTGTGTAATGTAAAATTAACTTCTAATTAAAGAGCACAAAAATGAGTGTTAGAATTAGTCAAACATATCCCTCTGAGAAGATACCAGATAATTTAATGGAAAATAGGAACAGAGGAGTGCTTCCCTCTTTTTTTCTAGGCCAACATAGACTAGCAGAAGGGATTTTTTTCCCCACTCATATTACATAATAAAGTCCATATTTAAAGTCCTATTTTTTTCCCCACTCATATTACATAATAAAGTCCATTTCTACAGGTAACATTCTACTCAATGGTGAAAAACTGAGAACTTTTCTTCTAAGATGAGTAACAAGACAGTGATGTCCATTTTCTTTTACTCAACATAGTACTGGAAGTCTGAGCCACAGCAATCAGGCAAGCAAAAGAAATCAAAAGCATACAGACTGGTAAGGACTAAGTAATAAGAACTAGAACAAACAATCTTAAAGTTTATATGGAACCACAAAAGACCCTGAATAGTCAAAGCAATCTTGAAAAAGTGGAAGAAAATGGGAGGTATCACAACCCCAGATTTCAAGATATTCTATAAAGCTGTAGTAATCAAAACAGTATGATATTGGCACAAAAACAAACACATAGATCAATAGAGAGCCCAGAAATAAACCCATGATTATATAGTTAATAAATCTATGACAAAAGATTAAATATGCAATGTAAAAAGATAGTCTCTTTTCAACAACCCCACTGGTGTTGGGAAAATCGGACAGTTCCCACATTAGGTGCAGTATTTACAATTTTTATATCTTCTTGTTGAATTGTTCCTTTTATGATTATATTGTGTCCTTCTTTGTCTCTTGTTAGTTTTTGTTTTAAAGTCTATTTTGTCCAATATAAGGATTGCTATCCCAGCTTCCTTTTCACCGCCATTTGCATGATAAATGCTTTTCTATCCCTTTACTTTTGATGTATCTGAATTGAGTCTCTTATAGGCAGCATATAAATGGGTCTTGCTTTTTTATCTATTCCGTCATGCTATGTCTTTTGATTGGAGCATTTAGTCCATTTACTTTCAAAGTAATTATTGATAGAAATGTATTTATTGCCATTTTGTTACTTGTTTTATGGTTGTTTTTGTAGTTCTTCTCTGTTCCTTTCTTGTTCTCTTCTCTCAGAGTTTGCTGGCATTTTTAAATGATATATTTGGAGTCCTCTTTATTTTTTGCATATCTATTACTGGCTTTTAATTTTTGGTTACCAATCGGTTTGCATCTAACATCTTAGGAATATATTACATTGATGGTTCATTAAGGTTGAACCCATTCTTTTTTTTTTTAATTTAAATTCAATTAACCAGCATATAGTACACCATTTTGATGCAGTGTTCAATGATACCTTAGTTGTGTATAACACTCAGTGCTCATCAAATCACATGCCCTCCTTAACACCCATCACCCAGTTACTCCATCCCCCCACTCCCATCCTTTCTGTAACCCTCAGTTTGTTTCCTGGAGTCAATAATCTCTCATGCTTTTTCTCCCTCTCTGATTTCTTCCCGTTCAGTTTTCCCTCCCTTCCTCTTGAACACATTCTTTACTCCTCTCCCCTCCATATTTTTAGGTATATGTGTCAAATTTTACATCCTTTTATTTTATGAATCTCTTGACCAATTTTTATAGATACTTAAATTTACTGCTTTTGTGTTTATTGCTCCTCTTGCTCTTACTTATGGTCTTATTTTCCACTCAAAGCGTCCCTTTTAACACTTCTGGTAGAGCTGGTTTAATGGTCATGAATTCCTTTAGCTTTTGTTTGTCTCAGAAACTGTTTATCTCTCCTTCTATTCTGAATGATAGCCTTATTGGATAGAGTATTCTTGGCTGCAAGTTTTTTCTTTCAGCACTTTAAAAATATTATGACACTTTCTTCTGGCCTGAAAAATTTCTGCCGAAAAATCATCTGATAACCTTATAGAGTTTCCCCTTGATGTAACAGATTTCTTTTCTCTTGCTGATTTTAAAATTCTCTTTCACTACTTATTGCCATTTTAATTACTATGTACCTTGTTGTGGATATCCTTGGTTGATTTTGTTGAGGGTTCTCTGTGACTCCCAAATCTGGATTTCTGTTTCTTTTTCCAAATTTGAGAAGTTTTCAGCTATTTTTTCTTCAAATAAATTTTCTGCCCCCATTTCTCTTTCTTCTACTGGATCCCTCTAATGTAAATACTATTATAATTAACGGTGTCACTGAATTCCCTTTTTTCATTTTTTAAAAAATTTTACAAGATTTTATTTATTTATTTGACAGAGAGAGATCACAAGTAGGCAGAGGCAGGCAGAGGGGGAGGGGGAGGTAGGCTCCCTGCTGAGCAGAGAGCCCGATGTAGGGCTCAATCCCAGGACCCTGAGTTCATGACCTGAGCCAAAGGCACAGAGGCTTCACCCACTGAGTCACCCAGGTGCCCCATTTTCATTTTTTATTATTATTTTTTCTCTCTCTCTTGTTCAGCTTTACATTACCCTCTTTTTCAAATTGCTGATTCATTCTTCTGCTTCTTCTAGTCTATTTTTTCTATTTGGTTTATTTTAAATTTTAGTTATTGAGTTCTTCATTTCTGATTGGCTCTTTGTTACATTTTCTTTCTCTTTATTAAGGGCCTCAGTGACATTCTCCACTCTTTTCTCAAGTCCAGTAAGTATCTATATGACCATTACTTTAAATTCTCTAGTAGGGATATTACTTATCTTCATTTCATTTAATTCTTTTGCTGTAATTTTGTCCTGTTCTTTCATTTGGGACATATTCCTCTGTATACTCATTTTGTCTAACTCTCTGTATCTGCTTCCGTTTTAGGAAAGTTAGCTACATCTCCTGCTCTTAAAAGTAGTGACCTCATAAAGAAGAGTTTCTGTAGTGCCCTGCAGTGCAATGTTCCTGCTCACCAGAACTTGGTGCTTCAAGTCTGTCTCTTATGTATGTTGTGTGTGCCCTAGTGTTATGGCTGAGCTTCTTTTGCTCTCAGTCCAGTTGTTTGCAATCATTCTCTTTGCCTATTTTGGGCAGGGTTTAGTCCCTATGTTGTCAATATGCTAGTCTGGGGCTACCTAAGGCTTGAGTTGAGTCAGACTAGGTATTTTCCAGAGATGCAGTAGCACCAAACTGTAGGGTAGTTACCCTGTGTTGTCCCCTGAGAACCTTTCATTGGTGGTTGGGGCTAGTAGTCAGACAAGATGTCTGTCCCCAACCCACTACTGGTGTCATAGTTGGACTGATGTGTGTGTTCTTCCCCTCTCCCGTGTGGTAGGAGTCTCTTTGGGGTGATGCTGACCCCTGTTGGGGCTGCTTGCATACTGCCAGGCTTGTAGGACTGATTGATGGGCTTTGGTCAAGTGTGTACTGAAAGGGCAGGTCTGCAGGAGAATGCTTGGGTGGGACATACTGTTAGCAAATTAGGTGGATAGTGTTGTTCCCATGTTGGTTCCCACAGGTATGTAAGTGTCTAGGCTGGGGGTGGGGGAGGGAAATTGCACCTGCCATCTCTTTTGTTCTTGAAGTCCCCCAAGGACCCCTGCCCCTCTAGCACATGCTCTAAGATTTATACACAAATCTCCCTCCCATAAATCCCACGTGCTTTTCAAACTGCTGTATCTCCCTCCTGCCCATGGATAGTCCCGCAGGTTAATTTAGCTCTCAGCCGTATCTCCAAGGCTCTTCTTGCCCTCTTCAATGTGGTATCTTCTCTCCATATAGTTGTGAAGAGTCTGTTCTGCCAGTCCTCAGGTTGTTTTCTGGATTATTTACACTGATGTGGCTGTTACCTAGTTGTGTCTTTGAGACGTGGCGAATTTAGGGTCCTCCTACTCTGCCATCTTACCCAGAAGTCTTCAATGTTTATTTGGTTCAACATTTTCCTTACTGATTTATCAAAGGGTTGGATTTCTTTGATTAGGAATCATCAGGAAAAATGGTTAAACAGTTTTCCACTTCTAAAACAAGATTGCACTAACTATCCTTACACAATATCAGTATTTTATTGGGCTTTTGTATCTACATATACATTCTCAAAGCTGGCATTCCTGGGGCAAAGGACAGGTTTGCATGTTTAAAATTGTAGAAAATATTAAGGGATTACTTTCAAAATGTTATAAGTCTTTTGCCTTCTAGCAAGGTAGGAAAGGGTTTCTTATCCTAAATCTATACTATCACCAGATGTAATGGAACTTAATCAAGCTTACTTATCTGTTCATATGTGTATTGATCATTTA